AATCATGACCCCCCCTATTAATTGTCGAAAAAAAAATTAGCCCCCCCCCTCTAGCCAATCTAAAACAGCCTTGACCCCCCTTCTCCCCCCGCTACATAAATAATGACCAGTCCCTTAACTGAAAAAAAGTGAAAATAACGTGGGAAGTATTCCTTCTTTCTTTATCTGCTGCATGTCTGTCAATGCCCTGATGGCAATTACATACTCGTTTTCCTGTTATGATGAATGGAATTTCATCATATTTGATCCTTGATTGGGAGGTTACAGACTGAGGATATTCGAAAAACACCTTCTTCCTCTTCATTTGCACATTTTCAGGAACAAAGCAAGGCCTAATCTTAATATAATATTGTACATATATACAATTTCTTTTTTCTGCTCTGAACTGACCCTAGCCTCCCTAGCCTCCCCCGCAGGCGTTTTTAGGGGAGCCCCTAAAAACGCCCGCGGGGGAGGCTAAACTGACCCTGGTATAGATTTTATCAGTGTCCTGTAGCCATTTTCAGCAGGCAGGAGGCATGAAGAGTGAAGGCAACTTTCCTCATCCCTTTGAATTTTATATGGCACAACCTCTTTTGTCAAGATATTTCTGTTTCTTAGTCGAACCTTTCTTCCATTTTTTTGTCTTTTATTTGGATATTAAGTTTATTGTTCATTTAATGCATTATTTAATTAACATTGTTGTTATTATCATCATTATTATTCTGTTAGTTTATTTTGTATTTAAAAACCTATTATGGTATTGCCAGGAATTTTTTTCGTTTCGCTTTAAGTCTCAAATCCATCTGTTTTAATATTTGTGAAGAAAAATAATTTGTCACTGCAAGTAGTTTTTCCGTTTAATATCAGTGGCGGGAGCCAGTAATATTTTTAGAAGTACGAATAGGTCAATGCTAAGTATATTTTAGATGAAAAAAACAAGAAACAAAATAAATCACATCGCATCTTTTTAAATACGCCCGCGAGTATTCATTCTGACTCCTTTACGCGCTATTTTTTCGCCATTGCGATGCGGTGATCGATGCAGAAACGAAGATTTACTCGGCGATCGTATAACTCGGTCCCAGTCTCAGGATCGAGGAAGGGTCTTCTTGTCTATCCCTTCAAGTGACTACCCACTTAAGAAAGCAGTCAAAAATAGGGTACAATACCATGGGGAACATTGTAACAGAGGGCAATTCATAGCACTTTGGAATACCACGCTTTAAAATCGTATATAATCGACTCTCTAGGACTCACAAACTATTTTATCACGCATTACACGAAAAAACCTACAATTTTTAGTGATATGAGCTGTTCTTTTAGTTTCTGAATGGCGATTTTGCAGTATTTCGTATCCGTGGTGTAGTTACCGTGCAAATCTGTCACCGAACCACCTAGTGCAGCAATGGCTAAAATCATTCTCCCGTTACCAGTCTGGATTTATCCTTTAGAATTGCCTCTTGGTCCCATTGTTTTTATCAGAAAGTGGTTTTGTGACGGATTTATCATGTTTATCATGTTTATATAGATTAGTAGATTGTAATTTTTTTATTATTATTATTTTATCTGATAGATTTACCGTGTTTAAATAAAAATAAAGTTCAAGTTCAAGTTCAAGTTTATGGATGACTGAGACCATTGCGGCCGTAGACCTTACTTGATCCATCTTACTTGGAGTGGTTTCAAAAGTTAATGACCTAAGGCAGGCTTGACCTTCGTTCATGTTATGTAATCTACTTTTATTGCATCAAGGCTTAATGCCAAGTCAGTAGTAAAGGTGGTCACTTCGGGTATCAAAGGATGCCGCCGCCGCTATTGTTTCAGCCTATTGTTAGGGTTAGGGTTAGGGCTATTGTTCTATTGTTCTTAGGGTTAGGGTTAGGGTTAAGGTTAGGGTTAAAATGCTAATAAGCCCTAGCCCCTTGGGATTAGGGCTAGGGTTAGGTAATCAAAAATTCAAGATGGCGAACTCGCTCGGAGAGGACTCGGAACTATGTAAAGGTGAACTTCAAGTGTCGCAAGAAAAACGACTCAATCAGGGATCGAACCTGAAATCTTCTGATGTTGTGTCAGATGTGTTACCATTACACCACTGAGCCGTATATAGTGAGAAGTATTTTATTACAGTGTTTTAAGATATCGTTGACATTTAGCGCATAAGAGATTTAGGTCACCAACGCACTGATCATAGATTAAAGTTTTCTCAGGGTTTTTGACTTCTTTCTTCTCAGCGACTCTCTTTTGCTCTCTTTGTTGTCTCCTCATTTCTTTTCTTTTGAGTTTTCGAATATACTCTTTGAGTGTGAGAATGTGAGTTTCTTTGAGTTTTAAAACAGCCTTCAGATGTTTTATTTCTGCTTGACAGCCAAACCAAGCTTCCCCGATTTCCTTAGTCGTTGACATCTTCAAAGCGTGAGCATTAAAAAAGTTCCTAGAATGTCTGTATAGTTTTATAAGAAACGCGTTCCGGTCAGTGCTTTCGTGTGCTAATTCACGCGCGCTTCAAAATTTGCATGAAAACTCGCTAAGTCAGCTAAAATAATGTTGCTCCTAGGTCTTAGAAAAAAAAGAAGACCTGAAAGAGAGAAAGAATTGAACCCGTAAGCTTTAACGTAATGAAAAGTTACCTGTCGTCAGTACTAATGCTTAACGCCTTGCGCTACGCACGTTCCCGACGAAAGAAAAAGAAAAAATAAACTAGTCTTTCTCATTATTGGTCATTGACTTTAAATCATTTGGTGGTTCTTAAAAGAACCGTTTTGTCATAAGACATTTAGTAGGATCTGTTTTTCCTACTTAGAAATTGGCTGTGGTATGTGAAGGTGAACGGGTAGGCTGAAATTATTTGCCATTTCTCGCCTGGTACTTTCTCAGAGTAATACACTGCAATGTGCTTGGCAGGAAAGCCTTCCGGATCTGTACCAATTTGCCGGTTTAGTTTAAACACGAACAAATAAAAGCGTCCATGATATTCGTTCCAGCCCTCGTGTATTACGGAGACGTCTTCGTGATGTTCCCAGGTGATTTCGGAGACAGCCTTTAACAAATCGACTAAATCGATTTGTGACTCAAACTTAGAGGCTCTCAAATGTTCGTTCTTTGAAACATGCCTCTCGTTAATATGCTCTGCTTGTTCTTGCGTTAGGAAAGTTCCCTCGGCTTCAAAAGGCGAAGCCATCGTTGAAAATAAAATTTTTTCTGGTTCATCTTAAAACAGATTGCAAAACAAAAGAGTCCAACTTGAAAAAGAGCGAAAAGGGTAATTGTTTCTGCCGCCAACCGTTAAACTTAAAAGAGCAGCGAACTTTTTTGCCGCTAAGGTTTAAAACTTGAAAGAACGGCGAAAAGTTAATTGGTTTTTGCCTCTCCACATTTGTTGTCTCCGCGTCAATGAGCGTGAATCTCGCATGAACAAAATAAAGGAAGGGTGAATTTGGGAAAGTCACTTTGCTCTGCTCATCACAGTGTCAAGATATCAGATTGCGTTGCTGTTTTTTTTTTTGAAGATGAAGACTTTGTACCAACTCGCCTTTGAAGCAGTGCCCAATAAGGGCTTGATGGCGGAAACGTTCCTTGTACCATGGCACCCGATCGCGCAAGAATTGCAGGAGCAGCAATATATCCAAGACAGAAATAGGTATAGAGAAGAACATCGAGTCAATTTCAGGTTTGTCTACGCAGATTTGTGTTTTATCGAAACATTGTTTTCAAGCTCAAAAATATACCCAAGCGATGTTGCGTTTTTAAATCGATTGTGGAAACAAATCGACAATTTACTTTAGTTCATGTTGCTTTTTAGACCGATTCTGGAATCCCTGTTTTGGATTAGAGATTGCACATGGTTAAGTGTGAAGACCAAATGTTGTATGATTGAACTGTAAAACGTGTTTTTAAACGCGCTTGTTGATGTTTATTTTAGAAAATGTTTAACTCAGCTGAAACTTCAAAGATGGAATACGTATTGTCATAAAACCGAATGGATCGCAATTAAGTACGCTAAGTACGGAGAAGACGGAAGATGTCAACATTGTAAAAGAATTAGGACAACGGGTTTAACGTTAGATGGATTACGTTTGAAAAGGCAAAAACAAAAAGTTGACCGAAATGAGGAAACACGTTTAATACGTCTTTTTTACTATACTCGTAGATAATTATTCGATTGAACGTGTTTTTAAACGCGCTTCTTGATTGTTTTATTTTTAGAAATTGTTTGAATCAGTTGAAACAGCGAAGATGGAACATGTATTGTCATAAAACAGAATGGATTCCCGTGAATGCGAAGATACCTATGTGTTCCCAATGTAAAAGAATTAGGACAACCCAGTTAACATTAGACGGTTTACGTTTAAAAAAGCAAAAGAAATTTGTTGATAAAAATGAAGAGGCGCGTTTAATTCGACGTTTTTACTATACGCCAATTCGTAGACGCTTAGAATTTATGTAAGTTTTTGTTTTTATTCTCTTTAGAAAATGTTTGCGACAAATCAAGAATCGCCATTTCTGTAGATCAGCCCAATGGCTTTCTCTTAATCAAGGAAACTGTTCACAGTGTCTGAGAATTGCTGTTGAATGTTTGAGCGTGGAGGGTCAAATGAGACATGACCGTTATGAAAGAGTTAATTTTGAAAGGGAACGACGCAAAATCTTTAAGTTATATAGGGGTACGCAAATTTTAGAAAGGCGTCAGGTACTTGAACAAAGAGTGATGCAGTCTTTGGGTTTTGTTTAAGATTATCAAGCTAACTTTGTTGGACCAGATTCATTAGGGATCTGATATGTTCCAGTTTGTAAATAAGAAAAAAGCGCTTTGAAAAGGACTTAGCCGACTAGCGGTTAAATACGTTCCTCTCATTGCATTTACTAAGAAAGTTATTGTACCGTTTTACCGAAGGGAGGTAAAATGAAAATAAAAGTTAAGTTTGTGTGTAATTTACTTGTGTCTTTGGGAAAAAGAAATGAACTGAGATCTGTCACATGAACACTCAGGCTGGGAGGGGGTTTCTTAGAACTTAATGAACACTCAAGAAAAAGAAAAGATTAAAGCTGAATCAACCAAAATTTCTTAGAAAACGAACAAAGAGTAAAGCTGAATTAGCCAAAATTTCTTAGAAAACGAACAAAGAGTAAAGCTGACTCAGCCAAAAATGAATTAGAAAAACGAACAAAGACTTATTATTGAGGGATCAGTTGAAAAAGTAATTAGAAAAAGAACAAAGAGTATAGCTGACTAAGTGAAAATAGGTCATTAGGCAATCTTGGGCAGCCTTGAACGTTCTTTGTCCATTATGACTTAATGAAATTCGAAGCACGCGCTCCCAGCTAATTTAACTAAGTCACGTCTCTGAAAGTGTCATTCAGTTTTTACTGTCTTACTGTGCGGAGCTTTTTGCAAAACTATTTTTTGAAAACGATGGATCCGTATATTTATGCTCTTATGAACGATGGGATCGATTCCTTGTTGGAGGAAATACCTGACTGGACGACTAGTCAAGGTGAAGAATTAATGGACTCGGAGGATGACAGCGATTTGCTAATCGCGGCGCGCCGAGCAGACCAGCAAGGAGGGAATCCCTTGTTTTCTGTGAACATGGAGCGAGTGAGAGCTCCGCGTTCTTTTCACCGTGGTGTGGCAATTCAAATGCAAGTCCGATTTTCTCTGCAGCAGTTACGTCAGCCGAATGGGGAATATCAAAAAGAAGCGGTGGCGGAGGCCTTCCACCAAGGTTTGATTAATTTCATCCGCGATCCTCGCAATGGTATTGTCAATCCTCAGGATTATTCCATGTCCATGGCTATTCACCACAGTACAGGGACACATACGTGGACCAGCTGTCCGAGGGTTCCGCTTAGTGAGTGGATTCAGGGATCCCCACTTACTCGACAATGGCTAGAAAGACTGGCTAAACAGCTCAACTCGGCGGAAAGTTTTGATGCCGCGAGTGGTGATTTTTACGCTGAACTGTCTTTTTTTAAGACTCAGCAACGTGGTGGAAGACCTGCGAAAAACAAGCCTGGCAACCAGTCCTTTGAGCAGTTACTCAAAAAGAAATCCGTGATTACCATTAAGAACAAAGATGACCTGTGTTTTTCCCGAGCCTTGGTTTCCGCCAAAGCCTTTGTGGACCAAGACCCTCAGTATCAAACGATTTTTAAAGGACAAGGACTGCAGGGTCATCTTGCGTACAAACTGCATCAAGAAACCGGGGTTCCTGAGGGAATGTGCGGGTTGCCAGAAATACAGCGAATGCAAGACCATCTTGGTCCTCAAGGGTACCAGATTAAAATATATGAAGGAGTCTGTGGTGCGCTATGGTATTGTGACCCGTCGTTTGATTCTGCGCCTAAAAAACTGTGTCTGCTGAAAGTGCAACAGCATTTTCACGGTTTACGAAGTGTGCCAGCCCTCGTAAACAAGACCTATTACTGTCACCGATGTAACAAAGGTTACAATCAGGAGAATGCAGAGCACCATAATTGTTCTCGTCAAAAGTGTGACATGTGTCGAAGAAAAAACGGTAAATGCACTGATTATCAAGAAAGAAAGCCTGCCCATGTCTACTGCAATGATTGCGGTCGGTCCTTTTACGGTCAAAACTGTTTTACCGCTCACAAGAAAAGCGTATGTCGTTTGTTCAAAAAGTGCCCGGAGTGTTGTAAAGTGTACAAGTATTCCAAGAAAAAGAAGCATGTGTGCGGAGAATATCGTTGCCCCAACTGCCGAAACAAAGTATTGCCAAACCATCAGTGTTACATTCAACCCCTTGAAATAGATTACAGCAAGCTTCTTGACCAAGCAGACGAATTTAGCGAGGAAGACCGTGCGATTCTCGAAGATCTGCCCGAAGTTGAAACAATGGAAAAAAGTAAAGAAGAAGAGGACGAGAAACCGCCACCGCTGGTGTGCTACATTGACTTTGAATGTGGGTTGGATGAAAATCGTGATTTTGAGGATGTTCGTGTGGGGTGGCAATATGTCAATGTGAAAGGTAGCTACCGCGAAGCAGGAAAGGCATCGGATATGTTGGAGGATGTGATGGCAAAAACGGTGACCGCAGAAATGAAACAACGGCAGGTGTTTGTGTTCGCTCACAATATGCGAGGGTTTGATTCGTCGTTTATTTTGCAATTGTTGTATGATAAGGGCTACAAAGTGGAAAAGGTCTTGAGTATGGGGGCGAAATTTTTATCGTTTCAGTGTGGTAATGTCATTTTTCGGGATTCCCTTAATTTTTTTAACATGCTTTTGGAACGGTTGCCGGCGACGTTTAATTTGAAGGAAGCGCATAAGGGTTTCTTTCCTTATTCGTACATTTCTGAAGACAAGATCAGTTACATTGGTGTGTACCCGAAAGCGGAAGAATACCATCCTGAACGTATGAGCGAAAAACGAAGAAAGGAATTCATGACTTGGCACAAAGAAAAAGTGGACAGTGGTGCCATCTTTGATTGTCAAAAAGAACTATCCGCTTACCTGAAAAGTGATGTCAAAGTGTTAACGGAATCCATGGAAAAATTTGCTAGCGAAATGTTAGAGTTGACAGGCATAGACCCTACTGTGGAATGTGTGACCATTGCGAGTACTGCGTTTAAAGTATTCCAGAAAAAGTTTTTGGAACCCTACACGATTGCCTTGGAACCCCTCGGGGGGTGGCGCCACAATCAACAAAACCAGAGTGTGGAGGCCCTGCAGTGGCTGGAATTTGAGAATGCCAAGATTGGTGGCGGAATTCAGGTATGAATTTTAAGTTGCAGTGAAAGTCTGCACATTTTAAATTGAACTTGCAGTGTTTTTCAACATATTTCGGTTGGCGAAATGTTTTATACTGTGCATTTGTTGTTGCACGCTACAAAACAAAAATTAGAAGGAAATGTATGGGAAATATGTGTAAAAAGTCTGCTTTTTTCAAACTTACATTGCAGTGTTTTTCAACATATTTCAGTTGGCGAATATGTTTTATACTGTGCAATGGCAAATGCACGACCGAAATCAAAAATTATAATCTGCGGACCGTCAAGTAAACAGTAACAAATGTATATATTTTTTTTATTTTGCAGCATGTACGAAATTCATTGAATGGGGAAGCAAAAGTGATCACCCCAGCCCAATCTTACAACGTGGATGGCTATCACGCAGCCAGCAATACTGTGTACGAGTACCAGGGTTGCATTTTTCACGGTTGCCGTAAATGTTATCCAAAGCAAAGAAACATAAAGCGCTTCTGCCATCCCGATCGAACCGTGAGTGAAGTGTATGAGGCAACCCTGAAGAAAACGGCCATCCTCCGTGACGCAGGGTACACCGTGATTGAAATGTGGGGATGCGACTTCGCCAGACAGAAAGAAACCGATCCCGAGCTCGCCAAATTCCTGGAAAGCTTTGAATTCGTTCCACCGCTTGAGCCTCGAGACGCGTTTTTTGGGGGTCGAACTGGCGCTGCGACCCTGTACGCCAAAACGGCAGAAGACGAAGAGATTTGCTATGTTGATTTTACAAGCTTGTATCCGAGTATTAACAAGTACGGTGTCTACCCTGTGGGATTCCCGCGGATTTTCTATCAACCAGAACATTGGCGATTACTTTGGTCTCGCGCAAGTGGATATCCTGGCTCCTGAACGATTGTTCCACCCCGTTCTGCCTGTCAGGGCTGGTGGAAAACTTACTTTTCCTCTTTGCAGGTCCTGTGTTGAAGAAGAGATAGCAAACCCCTTGCTAGAGCGAAGCAATATGTGTGGTCACACACTCGAGCAGCGAATGCTGAAAGGTACTTGGTGCACCCCTGAATTACAGAAAGTGGTTGAAAAGGGATACGAAATCCTGAAAATTCACGAAGTCTGGCACTTCCCCGAAGAAAATAGACGGGAAGGCCTTTTTGCAGGGTACGTCAATACCTGGTTGAAGCTTAAAAAAGAGAGCGCCGGATGGCCTGCAGGAGTAGAAACCGAGGAGCAGAAAGCCGCCTATGTCCGCGATTACAAGGAGCACGAAGGCATTGATCTGGATCCTGAGAAGATTGCTGTCAATCCAGGTCGAAAAAGCATTGCTAAATTACTTTTAAACAGATAACTAATTGCAGTCTTTTTCACACTTAAAAAAAATTAACTTGCAGTAAAAGTCTACACATTTTAAATTGAACTTGCAGTGTTTTTCAACATATCTCGGTTGGCGAAATGTTTTATACTGTGCATTTGTTGTTGCACGCTACAAAACAAAAATTAGAAGGAAATGTATGGGAAATATGTGTAAAATGTCTGCTTTTTTCAAACTTACATTGCAGTGTTTTTCAACATATTTCAGTTGGCGAAATGTTTTATACTGTGCAATGGCAAATGCACGACCGAAATCAAAAATTGTAATCTGCAGACCGTCAAGGAAACAATTACGAATGTATATTTTTTTATTCTATCTTTCAGTTTATGGGGTAAATTTGGCGAACGGCAGAACAAGCCTGTTACCCACTGCATCACCCAGCCCTCGCAACTGTTTCAGCTGTTAGAAGACCCTGTGAATGATATAGGAGGCCCTGCAGTGGCTGGAATTTGAGAATGCCAAGATTGGTGGCGGAATTCAGGTATGAATTTTAAGTTGCAGTGAAAGTCTGCACATTTTAAATTGAACTTGCAGTGTTTTTCAACATATTTCGGTTGACGAAATGTTTTATACTGTGCATTTGTTGTTGCACGCTACAAAACAAAAATTAGAAGGAAATGTATGGGAAATATGTGTAAAAAGTCTGCTTTTTTAAAACTTACATTGCAGTGTTTTTTCAACATATTTCAGTTGGCGAAATGTTTTATACTGTGCAATGGCAAATGCACGACCGAAATCAAAAATTATAATCTGCGGACCGTCAAGGAAACAATAACAAATGTATATTTTTTTTTAATTTTGCAGCATGTACGAAATTCATTGAATGGGGAAGCAAAAGTGATCACCCCAGCCCAATCTTACAACGTGGATGGCTATCACGCAGCCAGCAATACTGTGTACGAGTACCAGGCTTGCATTTTTCACGGTTGCCGTAAATGTTATCCAAAGCAAAGTAACATAAAGCGCTTCTGCCATCCCGATCGAACCGTGAGTGAAGTGTTTGAGGCAACCCTGAAGAAAACGGCCATCCTCCGTGACGCAGGGTACACCGTGATTGAAATGTGGGGGTGCGACTTCGCCAGACAGAAAGAAACCGATCCCGAGCTCGCCAAATTCCTGGAAAACTTTGAATTCGTTCCACCGCTTGAGCCTCGAGACGCGTTTTTTGGGGGTCGAACTGGCGCTGCGACCCTGTACGCCAAAACGGCTGAAGACGAAGAGATTTGCTATGTTGATTTTACAAGCTTGTATCCGAGTATTAACAAGTACGGTGTCTACCCTGTGGGATTCCCGCGGATTTTCTATCAGCCAGAAAACCAGAACATTGGCGATTACTTTGGTCTCGCGCAAGTGGATATCCTGGCTCCTGAACGATTGTTCCACCCCGTTCTGCCTGTCAGGGCTGGTGAAAAACTTACTTTTCCTCTTTGCAGGCCCTGTGTTGAAGAAGAGATAGCAAACCCCTTGCTAGAGCGAAGCAATATGTGTGGTCACACACGCGAGCAGCGAATGCTGAAAGGTACTTGGTGCACCCCTGAATTACAGAAAGCGGTTGAAAAGGGATACGAAATCCTGAAAATTCACGAAGTCTGGCACTTCCCCGAAGAAAATAGACGCGAAGGCCTTTTTGCAGGGTACGTCAATACCTGGTTGAAGCTTAAACAAGAGAGCGCCGGATGGCCTGCAGGAGTAGAAACCGAGGAGCAGAAAGCCGCCTATGTCCGCGATTACAAGGAGTACGAAGGCATTGATCTGGATCCTGAGAAGATTGCTGTCAATGCAGGTCGAAAAAGCATTGCTAAATTACTTTTGAACAGGTAACTAGTTGCAGTCTTTTTCACACTTAAAAAAAAAATTAACTTGCAGTAAAAGTCTGCTTTTTTCAAACTCACATTGCAGTGTTTTTCAACATATTTCAGTTGGCGAAATGTTTTATACTGTGCATTTGTTGTTGCACGCTACAAAACAAAAATTAGAAGGAAATGTATGGGAAATATGTGTAAAAAGTCTGCTTTTTTCAAACTTACATTGCAGTGTTTTTCAACATAT